TTAATGGAAGGTTCACAACTCCCCTCCACCCCACCCCCCATTATTGATGTTCTTGAGCATTTATTATCTTTAACGTAAATTAACGTTAACTACATTCATAGGTGGCACCACGTCCTTACACAAAATTGGGGGGGGAGGCACACAAAAGGTCCTATATATCTCGGAGAGTGCGCTAGCACTCTCTATGGAGATATGCGATTAAAAAAACATGACCGCCACTATTGCAATAATAAATAAATATACTCAGATGAAGTTTCTACTACAACAGCCACCATAAGGATGATATAAAGAGCAGTCTTTTGAGTTATATTCCCAGTAAAAACTTCTGCAGCCAATGATTCCCAATTAATTAATTAACATGAAACAGTGTGGAGGGACATTAAGAGCTCTGTGTTGAAAGCGGGTAACAGAAAGCACCACCTCTACTTTGGCTGCTACCTATTTGTACATAGTGACCTTGACCATCGCACAATGTATACCATGTTTTAAGTGGGTACACAGTGAGATCTTAAAGCTTATACAAAACTTTTGGTGAGATGATAATGAATACTGTCATAATATATTATGTTATAAATAAATTGTATTATTTATCATAGCATCCACCCCCACATTTTTTTAACTTCAGAACCCGGACAAAGGACGGGTACCACAGATTGTATATGTGTATATAATTTGTTTTCATGTGTATGTACTGAAAGCAGAATCGACTTGGAGTTCATCTGTTCACACTCACTCATTTCTTGATTGACCTTCACGATTTGGTCGTTGTGGCATCACTTTGAGAGTTCTGCAGATAATTAATTGTCCATGGTACTGATCAGTTAATAGTATGTCAGACCTCTCTCTTATTCCTCACCCCCACCACCTTTATAGTGTGGTCTTGGAAAAAACCATCGGACCTGTTGAAATGACCAAAGAACTGCATCTTGAGATCTTTTATGGTAGCTTTTCTTATCATTTTCAAAAGGTAAAAACAAAGGACTGAAAGCCGTGAAGAACGTACAGAATTCGGTTTGCAGCTCATCTGTCCTTCGGAAAGAAACTGTAGAAGGTAGCCTTGAATGATAACTACCTTCCATGTTTACCAGGGTATGGAAATGTATACCCGATGTACTTCTTTCTAGTTTATTGGTAGGAGTCGAAAACGTAAGAGCATTCCTTTATATTCATATTGGTCCGTATTGATTGGCGATGTAATTAACAGAACATTCAATTCTTTACTAAACTGGTGGTCACATTATAGTCCTGTGTTTGCTGGCTACCCAAACCGTAACCCAGTTAATGAGGAAACTCGTCAATTTAGGTACGTTTTATCAGCTTTCTCCATAATATCTTGAGATCCATGTAAAATATTGACATCAGATGCAACACACGAATGTAAGTAATTCAATGTATACCAAAATATTGAATTTTGATCAAAAGCTTAGTAAGTGTGTGTGTGTTTTTTTGTGCGTGTTTTTTTTTATAACTTATATTAGAATCCGAAAGCATGGCTGCTGTCACAAAAACTATATGTAGACTGCAAGTTGAAGAAGATCAATTTGACATCATTCCTTCACGTGGCGCTATGATGTCATAAAATTGAAGTCTGCCAAATTGTCGTTTTTTTTTATGGGATCAAACAAGAGGCAGATATAAGACGTTGGAAGTTTAATATGGCGTCGAATTTTCACGTTATTGTAGTACTTGAACACACAAACTTAAATCTAGGTATTGACGATCCATCGCTAAGGAAGAGTTCATAATGTTACATTAGAGACGAGCAATATGCGACTAGACGACAAGGTATTAAAGTAGAATTTCGTGATCGTACATAATTCCATAAAAGAGAGAGAAGATTTTCACCACCAGCCAGAGATGTTAGATCAGTATGTGTGTTTCTTTGTATGGAAGTAAGTAGTTTAAGCTTGTCTTTTAGATGTGCTGTTACTAGATTCTCTATACTTATTCCGAGCCTTAGCGTGATTTATAAAATACTGATTGCTTTCTCTGTAATATACTTCGAAAATTGCATATTAAATACTATATGTTAAGGAGTATGGGTGTGATCGGAATTTTGTATTGAATCAAACCATGTTGCCCTCTCGGCGCCATGTTTGGTAAGGAGTATATTCAGCAGTAACCTCTATGATGGTATTCACACTAGTTATTAATGCATGTCCAGGTAAACTGAATCACGATTTCATTTACAGGAAATGTAGCCACGTGTCATTATATTACTAGATTTTTTAAATGTATTCATCTAAGGAAAAAGAAAGTTCTAAAGAGACTAGGTCGTATGCCCACAGGGGTTTGTATGCAGGAAGTCTTTATCGAAATGAGGACAGTCGGCCACTTTCATAGCGCACTGTTCATCTCTCGGTGTGTCCTGAATACTGTCCCCTCTCTGCTTGGAGGAATTTGTTGACATACATATTAATATAAATATGGGATTAGAAAATATGGTTTTCCACCTATTTTCAAACCAAACCCTTCAAAATATCTAAACAATTTTTAGACTACTAGTCTTTATCTCAGTTGTGGATGTTTACAGTAAACTCTTTGTAAACCTTGCGAAAGAAGGTTTTGTCTACAGCGCTATCTAGAAGACAGTGTTTGCAACAAATATATAATATTTTGGAATCTGTTGATCTTAATATAAGACATTCCGAAAGTACGTAAGCGTAAAAGTATTTAAAAAAATAAACAAAAGGGCTAATTATTTAAACCTCTTGCCCGCTAGGTTGCAAGATGCGTAAAATTACGCGTGTTTATTACTCATGAAGGCGCATACATACATATATAAATAACATGCATATGACAAAACAGTAGGCTCTGGTTTTATACGATGTGTGTGTATGAGTTAGATTTATTCTAAAGTGCGAGTGAACTCAATAATATAAATAAGTATACAAAATTAAAGAAGCCATTTTGTAGAATGGACAAATGTCCACTGTTGTCAGTTATATCCCGTCCGTGTGGGACCTCCATTGTTTAATGTTGTATTGTTCGTATCTTAATAATGTTGATGCCCCATTATTATGCCTACAAAATTGCTTTATCTTGTTTAACTAAAATAAGTGCTGTAATTGACCTTTCAATACGATTGTGCGAACTTACACTTTTAAGGCTAATTACATTTTATGGTTTACTGCGAAGAGATGTAAAGGACATGTAATACAAGCGGTATAATTGGCTTTTATCTTGGAATTCGTGAATCATAATTTAATCCGTCATGCTGGTTTGCTCATTACATTTCTGTTCTTCCTTTCAGTAACAGCAGATGAATGCGCGATTTCGTATTGAGCAGCCTTTAACTGTATAGGTGTGTTGAAGTTGGATGCAGTAAACAACACGAATGAATAAACAGCGCATGACTTCATCTTAGCGGTAGCCATGGTGATGTAAGTAAACTCTTCAAGTCGGTTATTACTCTGTTCATGAAGTAATTATTAATAAGAAATTCCGAATGAAAGTTAAGAGTGTCTATCCATATGTCAATAAAGTAATTATTAATAAGAACTTCCGAATGAAAGTTAAAGACTGTCTGTCCATATGTCAATAAAACTGGTTATCCTATATCCAACGCCGACGAGGCCTTTGGCCTAATACCAAGGCTCTTCAGGCCAGCTGGGGACAGACATAGTAATGGTTGAGACGCTATTTATACTAGCAAAAGCCTGACGATAACGTTATATAAACTGGATTAAGTTGGTGATTTTTTTTATGTCACAATACATCAATATTATGGTAAGAATTGTTTGACACTATATTATTTATTTAATCTAACATCACATATTATTAATTATTATTCTCTTCGATTAACCTTCTCGTTATTCAGAAGAACTGAAGAACCAGAAAACTATTACGTTCATTGTAAAGGCCATCAAACTTGGCCCAAGTGTATCTAGCATTATTTAGACGCTTAAGGATAAAATTTTTTAGTTAACACGACACAGGCGTATCTAGTATTTATTATTGAGGCCTAAAGATAACTTTTATGACAATAAAAGTCAACATTTCGATCATGTGTTATTTAGACTTACAGTAGTTTCTGTCTTGCTGTTGTTGTTTTTTTTATGACGTGTACCTATTTTCTCTTCTTGACGTATATCGATCAATTAACCAATTACTTGTCTTAGCCTAACATAAAGGATTGCGTAAATATACATGTTTTACTTATTAACACGCACATGCTAGAAAGAAGCTATACACGGACAAGCTCTCGACAAGAAACTGAGCCTGGGAAATCTAAAAATATAAGGAGTTTTTATTGAATGCACGTACATGATATTGCTGTCTGATGGGTGTTCTACAGTTAACCTGATGGATTCATAAATGACGTTCATTAGTTTTAAAGCTTATAGCGTGCATACAGTAGAACTTGGTACTTGCTTTATATATTGATCGAAATAATAAAATCCTGA